ACACCTCGTGTTCTAGGACTTGACCCACTCCAGTTAACCGCTCCTGTCCATTTGTGCCTCAATCAACCTGTCAGAGTTCACCACCCAAAGGTGCACTCAAATAAAAGGTGAAATAAAAGAGCGTTTAAGTAATTAAGCACCTCTTTCCAGACTCACTAACCCAAATATAGCAGAAATTTTAAAGGCAAATATCTTATGTCCGAGTCCATCTCCCAGCAGCAGGAGAATGTGGAGTTTGTAAATAACAACAGCAATACAAGGAATGCCTCTTTGCTTACCCGATCCCACTGAAATTAATGGTCTGTGGTTTAGGTCTGTGTCAGTGCCATAAAGTAGGATATGCCTGGAGACCAGGAAGTGTCTGCTTCGTGTGTTAATGATGGAGTTATGGAGTGGCAGCAGCCATTTCATGGTCAAAGTTGCAGAAGGGTTTTTACTACATGCTTGACTCTCCCTCTTTATATGCCAACAAAAAGCTGAAGAAATTCCTAGGTCAGACCTGGAGCTGAGGTTGAAAATTTTCTATAAAATTTGAAAGGGATCCAGCTAAAGATTTTCAAATGATGCCACCCCTGAAAAAACACAGCTCACAAGCACAGGCTGTGCCCCTCCTACCACTCAGGTGTAAACTCACACAGGGGTGAGGACCTGGGTATGAGCAAAAACTGTTCAGCAAAATTACTGCCCCCTCAAGCCTCTTCTCCACTGAAGCCCCAGCTCTCCTTCTCCAGCCCCACCATCCACATGCTCCAATCACCCAAGAAAAAAGCATCATACTTGTGTGTTATATTTTAATGTTTATGCTGTGGCTTTTTGTATAATAGGAATAATCGCTGTTGCTTTGTAGTACACTTACAACAAATAGCTTTGGAGATTGCTCAAACACTTTAGCTCCACTTCAGCTCTTAATCAAACTCAGCAGCTGTTTATTGCAATTACACCATAAAGCAATAGACATTATCCCTTAACTAACTGTCTTATTAATATAGGTAGTTACACAGCTATTTCATAGTTAGTCTTAAATAACTGCTTTTAATTATTTTATTAACATAAATAACCATCTCAATAAATTTAAATTAAATGCATATGTGAGAAAAAGCAATTTAAAGCATTGCACAAAATTGCATCTGTTTTCTAATGTTCAAATCGATGTCATTGTGTAATTCAATTAAAGTGCAACTTTAATTTATTTCAATTTTTGATGGCCAGGAAACACCTAAGATGCTAGAACTTCCTAAATATTGAAATGGGCACTGTCTGATCCTCTTCTGCTGCTGTATTTTCCTTGCAATATTAGTTTCCTGCCAGGGGAATGAGATTCCTTTTTTACCCACAAAACTTACAATTTAATATCCCCATTTAATTTTGTTTTCTTCCCATTCTGAAAGCAACAGATGACTGGATTGTATTTTGCCTTCTAGTTCAGTTGTGCAACTCTGCTTTCAAGGGAGAAAAGGATTTTATTTTCCTGTGCAGCACTGGATCCTCCATGTCTTATGCCATTTGTTCTGGTAGGATCAAGCTCTTTGCCTTCAGCTAAGGGGAAGGGAGACGTTGCCTGACCTGGCCTGAAATCCCCTTTTTCTTCCTCGGGGGGGGGGGGGGAAGGGGGGGGGCTGGTTTATTGTTCAGGGGGCTCATTCTACCCAAAAATCCTCCACTGCAGAGCAGGCAGCACTTGCACAGCAGCTTTTATCCCACAGTGCCAGCACGGAGCGTGTCCCTGGAAAGGGAGCACAGCCCACCCCTCATCTCACAGAAGGGTCTGCCTTATTCAGATGCTCTTTGGGGATGAAACGAAAATCTCCTATCCTTTCTCAGCTTGAGATTCCTCCCCTGAAGGAAAAAGAGGAAAACTTGCTGAAGAGCAAGGAGAAAAGGAGAGGGACTCCCTTCACAACTTGCCACAGAGAGGAGAACAGAAGATCTTAGGAAGTGCTGGGAGAAAATCAAAGTGGCAAATAAAAGCCAAGGATGGGGTGAAAATAAGGCTGGAAAATAAAAAGGTGCAAAAGGAGGCGAAGGGGCCTCACATATTTTCCTGCCAGCCATTTTCTTCTGCCACTCAAAGCTTTTTGATTTAGTTCTGTAGTTGGTGCAGGGACCTGCAAATGTGAACTGGTACCTCCCTGAGATCAAATAACAACAAACCCCCTCGAAAGTAACTGGGATGTATTGAGAAAAAGTGCTGAAGGCAGGAAGATGCAAAGCAAAATTTCTCAGAGGGTCTCGGTTGGGATCTCAGCAGCTTTTTAAGGTTCAAAACTGTGGATATCGAGCCATATTTGGCTCTTGGATATCAGTCAATGTCAAAGATGTCATGGGAGAACAATGAAAAAAAGATTTTGGTCCCTGAAATCCAAACTAGTAAGGGTGAATTTTGTTAACTGGCAAAGTCCATCCCACCCTCTGGCTGCTCATGAGAGGACATGATCTCCCTACAAGGAATCATATAAGGAAGGCATTTCCAGGCAGGTACAACACTGTATGAGGAGGAAGGTGCCTATGGAAAAGCGGAGCTGGAGACAGCAAAGATGAAAACAGTGATTTATTTATTTTAATTCTTCTATCCCAGTGTACCAGGTAACACGAAGGGATAATTACAGGCTCTGTCAGAGAGGGGTTGCTGATGCTGTGATCTGGCAGACACACTAAGCTCCTCAGGAGACTAGCTCTTAAAAGTTTACAGACTCTGCTGGGCAAAGACAGAGGTGACTCAGTACAAAGGGTTTTTACAGAAAAATGTGGAAATCAAGAGTGAAGGAAGACATGCTTAAACTTCAGGTAACTGAGAGTGATCAGGGGTTGGATAATTGAAGTTCCAATGTATATTTGCCTACACTGTCGCTCACCTTTGAGCCCTACCTAGGCATCTTGACATTTATGTAGTCTGAAATCCTGAAAGCTCTGAGTTTAGACAACTAAATTGTTGCTTGTCAATTTAGTCTTGACTGAAAGACAGGTGTTTTGTTTCAGAGTAACACTCCTTTCAGACTCCTCTATTCCCAAGCTCAGATTACTGAGCTAAGGAACTATCAAAAATGAAATAACTTACAAGCAGGCAAAGACATTTACATACCTCGAACAAAGGAATTCTTTGGGCAAAATCAGGATTTTTAATTATTGCTTGTTTTCTGTCATGTGGGACTCTCATCTCGAGCTCTCTGGTGGGAGCTAGAGGAGCTTGGAGGCTTTGAAAGTTCCTACAGTTTTGGTAGGGCTGCAGGTCCTCTGCTGCTGCTGTGCAGTTTTACAAGCCTGTTCTGCTGAATGCAAAATGCTCTCTGAGCAAAGATCCAGCCGAGAATATGAACCAAAATTCTCCAAAGACGCAATTCTGAGAGCAGGCCTGCTACACACAGCCCCCAAATTCTGCTGCCTTTGAGCTGCTGCTGCCCCTGAGCAGCAGGTGAGCCCATTCCCACCAAGTGCCTCCCTGCAGAAAGCACTGACCCAACCCTGCCCACGTTCCTGCCCTTGGAGAATTCGGGTGCTCCTTTTTCCATGTCTCTGTGCCTGGGTGCTGGTGCTCACACACTTCAGGCAGGGTTTGGGCCTTAATTCCTTTATTTATGCCATTAAGGGGGCTGAAGGCAATGGAACACAGGCTTAATCACACTGACCTGCCAATAACCTCGGCTCTGACCTGGAGGGATCCCATGTTTTGGCATAGGTTAAGGTCTTATTTAATTTAGAACCTTAAGCTGGATTTGAACTGTAGCCCCAGAAGTAAAAAGCCAGCCTTTTTATCTGGGAAGCCACATGGCTCTGGCTTCCTGACTGGTATTTGTGACATCCCAGTATTGGCAAACCAGGGACATATTAGCTGTGTGCTCTATTTTCTGCCCTTAATTATGGCCAGCTAGTCTGAGTTTTCTTTCCTTCTTTTTTTTTTTTTTTTTTTTTAAGGATTTGAGTGACAAAGTGACTATGCATATCATTCCACATTTGAACTGTAAGACTTCAGTATTTCTACATCTAGTGTGTAATTGGATCAGCTGCCAGTTACAGAAAGGAGCTGGGTGAGTATTAAGTGTGTGGAAAATGAAGAAGAGTCCAAGTGTGAAGGGGAGGAATAATTTGACAAAGCCTGCAGTGAGCTGTACGTGGTTTTCTCGTTCCAAAATGGAGTAGGTTTTGAAGCACATGAGGAAAAACTGGCTTTGATTTATTAGCTTTGGTTCACAGAATGCTGGCCACAATCTTGGAGAGTCTCAAGACACAGGGAAAGCCACAGGCCCTGCCCCGAGGAGCTCACAATGCCGACATTATCATAACGAGGATGGACGGGTGCCAAGCTGAAAAACACTCTGCTTTCATCTGACTCCTAAAGCTGTGCCTTCAACAACCTTGTCAGGCAGTGCACAAAGCTCCTGCCACGGGCTTGGCACCACAGCAGGACTGGGGTCTCATCGTGATGTGGTGGTTCTCAAACCATCACACCCAGTGCTCTTCTGCAGGTCCCCACTGTAGCACCTCCTTACCTGACCTGGAGCTTCTCATTGCATTACAAAGCTAATGTAAGCATGAAACAGTTTAAAATCTACAACAAAAATCCACAGTAAACCTCAGCCCTTTCAGAAGGTGAGAAATAGAGGGGGTCTGTGTCCAGTCAGAGAGTGAGAGTGTTGGCCTCGGGACAAGAAAGTTGAGTTCCACCATTAAGTACATGAAGTTACGGCAGGATCATACAGTCAGAAAGACAGCTCTTTATCCAGGAAATGTTCAACTGTTTATCCTGTTACAAAGTGCATGCAAATCCCCTCAGATATGAACTGGCAGTCTGCATTGGTGGGACAGGAGAGCTGCATTCTGAGTGGGTAACCAGAACTTCCTTCGCTTTGCATCTCAAAGCAACTCTAAGATACAACTCAGGACAACAATCTGATCATGAGGTGCCCAGTTTAGGGCGTTAGGAGAGAGGATTGAAGCCTAAAATCAAAGAAAAGGTCACAACATCCAGGGCAGCTCATGAAAGAAGCAGAAGAAATGCCAATTACCTGGGAATTCACAGTTATCCCTCAGCTATAGAAATCCTCCATAAAATCCACCATGCTGATCTGTAAAGAGAAAGCAAGAAACTTTTATTAGTGGCACAAACAAACTCAGAGAATTACAAATACTCCAAGTAACTGACTGCCTGGTGGCAGCCAAGAAGGTGGAGAGAGCAAAGAGCAACTGAGATTTGCTACTTCCCAACTCTAGGTTTCTCTAGGCTACACTTGGTGGCTTGCTGACCATAGGACCAAACTGATATTTTGGGATTTGGAAATTCTTCTGCTATGCCTTCAATAGCAGCCACTAATTGAGAGGAGCAGTGTCCTAAAGGGCCCCTGGGTTACTGCCACAGAGCCACATCCTCTCTGGCTGGTATAAAAGCCCTGCAGACAAGTCTATCAGGCAAAAGCACAACAAAAAACCATCTCAAAATCATTTCTCTCTGGCTCTCCAAGGGGGTTAGGGCATTAAGACAGAATGTCCTACCTCAAAGGAAGTCAAGATTGGATCAGAACATCTCAGAGAGATAGAGAAGGAGAGATGGCAAGAGGCAGCAGTGTAAAGGTTTTATCAGCATGACTTGGGGATGACCACATTACTCATAGGTCACTGTGCTTTCCAGCTGACTAGCAACAGATGAAATAAGGAAAACAACAGCCTCTGGATTTCCAGGTAGCAGCTGCAGCCAAGTCTGCCTTTTTAGATGCCCTTTTAGTGTGGAATATGCACGGTGCTGCTCAGAAACCTGACTTCCCATGCAGAAGGGAACCCACTGTGAGATCCCACTGTCACCAGGCAAGTCCAGGAGAGCATCAAGACAATATTTGTGTTGTTAGAGGGAGGAAAACTTCAAATGCAAGGCACTTGGTTCTCCCTACCATTTGCAAACTTCCAGTATTTCCTAATATTGACCTAGAAGTACTTCACAGATCTTTGTGGATCTCAGCCCATCTCCAGCAGAAAGGCACCAGGAGTGGGTTATCCTGCTGTGAATCCTCAACCTGTATGGCAGCAAACAGGCACAGCTGCTCATGTCCCATCACAGCAGCCACAATACCGAGATTTTGTTATGTAACAATGACTAAAATATCATTTATTTATACTGAAGGGGTGCCCTTCTGCCAGGCACCGTACAAAGGCTTTACCAAGGACTGCTCGTGTTTTTTGGAAGGTGCCATTTGATCAGATACAACAGCTGAGTGGAAAATAATACTGCCATTCCTGACAGTTCTCAAATTAGCAAGAGCTTATAATGAAGCTTTTGTAAGACATCCCTTTCAAGGATTTGCTGGATACCTCCCTTGCTGGGGGTGGGTGCACACGGGGTAACTGCCCTCCTGCTCTGTGTTTAATTCTCTCACCTCGTGCTACGTTGCTTGTTTCCTGCACTCAGAGATCTCCTACTTGTGTTTGAACTCTCTGAATACTCTCTTCAGCTACACACAAGGAGATAGAGGCCTTAGTAACCTCCTACCCCAGCAGTTCTTTTCCTGCAGTCAGGAAATTATCTCCCTTTTTTTTGTTTTCTTTTCTTTTTTTTTTTCCCCATTGCACAGAACTAGGGGAATTCCCCCTTCCACTGCCTGGGCTCTGATGGCAGTGATTGGTGACAGCAGCAAAAAACCCCAAGCCACACCACTCACAGACAACAGTGTCTCGTTTTGCATCAGGTTTTATGTCAATATTTTGATAATTTCAGCAATTCCACATTCATGTTGGTACTGAGATATCTAGGAAACAAAGTATCCTTCAAATAATTCAGTAAGTGTCATGATAGGCCTGTGTGAATGCCTGTGCTTCTCTCCACAAAGAACTCAAATCATGTAAAACTCTGAGACCTGATTTTCAGCTGATATAAATCCAAAAAGATACTGTAATTATTGGTAGGACAGTTTACACTCTGAAATATCTTGGCCCCTCTCTCCTTCATGCAAGCAGAGGGAACAGGTACCAGGAGGGGAAGGTTTCATGTCTCTGCCTCCCAGACGTGAGTTTGCACAGGGAGCTGGAGGCTGTAGGTGCCTTCTGCCCTGGAAGGTTTTCTTTTTCCTTCATTCAGGCAATTGTCTCTCTCTCTTTTTTTTTTTTTTTAATGCAATTAACAAGAGAATTCCCCCTTCTGTTGTTTCTGAGGGCTGTGGAGCGGGATCAGAGAGGAAAAGTAAGTGGCACCTCTAATATATTTTGCCAGAATATGGGAAGAAGATAAGTATGAGACAAACAAAACATAAAACTGGTTTAGGAAAGAAGGGGGAAAATGCCTGGAAAATGTAGTAATAAAGGAACCTCACCAGTAGCAACAACTCAAGGAGAAAAGGGACTGATGGATAGCTGTGCTGGCACGAGTGAGGAAGGGTAAACCAAACCTTTTCAAAGCACAAGAAAAGAAAACCAAATTGCATTTAAAAAAACTATTGAGAAAAAAATAAAAAAGCCAGAGGACAAATAAAACAGAGAGAGGGAGGATTTCTATGAGCACAAAAGCAGAGGTCAGTACCCCGTGGTCATTTCCTAAGAAAGGAGGAAGCAGAAGTGAAGGAAAATCCCTAAATATAAAAGACTACTTATAAACAAAGGACACATTGACTACTACTCCATGATTTTTTGAAGGTTTGCTATCAGCATATCTCCAGTGATAAATGCCTTCACATGATGCCAGCTTTCTGCAGGCACAACTGCAGCAAATCACTTCTGCCAGGCAGAACATGAAGAAACAAGGAATCATCTCCTCCCCTCCACGTGGCACTGCTCTGGTCCGTGCACATCCTCCACCCCAACCCTCAGGAGAGGAGCACATCAGGGCAGCAGGGCAGGAGGATGTCCTGCAGAACACAGGATGAGAACACAAATCTAGGTTGGCAGCCTGGAGCTTATTTCAAACAATGATTACACAGGTCCATCTCTGACCAAGGCTCCTCATTGCACATCCTGCTCCAGTGACTCTTTTGTCACTTGGAAACCAGTTTGTCTAGGCACAAAAAAAATACTTCTAGATCATTCTTGCCATGACCATAAAACCAGAAAATTGCCAGGTGCCTCCTCTGAATGGCAATGACATCCACAAAAAGACTGGGCTGGTAAGAACGTGTCCAGGAGCTCTTTGGTCCACTGCCATTCATTAAAGCCCCCGAGCTCAAGGTACTGTCTCAAAGCCCCTGCCAGGTGCCCTGGAGCACAGCTCCAAGCTCACCTTTCCATGGAGAGAGGAGCCCCTGAGCCACCCCACTCACCTGAAGCCACAGCAGGACGTGCAGGCCCAAGGCTGGGCAGGGATGGGGCTCCATGGAAGAAGGGAAGGCCTAGTTTTAAAAGTCATGGGTGACTTTCAGAATTTATTCAGAAGCTTGATGGGGTCAAAAGTTGTGCCCACTGACATGTTTTCAAGCAGAGAAATACTTGCAACGAAACCCTCAGGCATTCAACTGCATATGGGCAAATGCTGTTCTCCCTTCCACCCCATCAGTGGGGTTCTACAATTAACATTAATCATTTCGAGGGCAATATTCTGCCTATTGACCAGAGCCCCTTTCTGGAAGGGAGAGATTCACACTGACACTGAAAGGTGAATTTGCAATGTCTGCATGTACATTCCCTTGCAACAAAAGAGTCATATAAAGTCCTCTGTTTACCAGGAAGACCCAGCAAGCTCCTGTGGTATCACACCAACATAAGTGAGATGAGAGCCTGGCCCCAAATCCTCAATCCCACAAACTCCCACATCATGCTGCCACAAAGAGGAGGCTGCTCCCAAGGCTGAGATCATGCCCAGATCCTGCAGTCTTTACTCAGACCTCAACTGTAATGGAAGTACTGCCTTCCCTCACCACAGCATCTTCACTACGAGTGCTCCTGTACACAGCTTTTTTTTCCAAAATAAATACTGCTGGGTTATGGGGGTTTGGGGTAGGTTTGTGGTTGTTTTTTTTTTGTGTTTGTGTGGTTTTGGCTGGGGTGGGAAAAAAGATGCAGAATTATTTTTTAAATAGAAAAAATAAATCCACTTTTTTTTTTCTTTCTGGAACAGACAGCTTAGAAACACAGAACAGCCTTTTTTTGTCCCCCCAAGCCCTTGCTCTGTACACCACCCCAGTGCCACCCTTGCTTTAAGAATAACCGTCGATCTGTGCCGTCCTTAAGGCCAGACATTCTTTGGATTTGGTTATTACATCAAGGTGCATTTGTGCTCCTAAATGGGCAGCTGTACTGGAAATGGAGCACAAAGGAGCAGAATTCAGGCTGTTCCAGCGTGGGTCCAAAGCCCGGCGTGTCTGCGGTGCTGTGAGTCTTTTGTTTCAGATGCAGAGAGATAAACTACAGCCTTTTTTTCCACGGCGGTTATAATGCAGAATATGAAAAACTCTTGGGATGGTTTAAGCTGCAGGGTATTCTCCCAGAGTTCTGTCCAAAAATAATCTAGTAAAAATGTGGACAGAGAACCATCGACCTCTGCTTTCCCCCGAACATATGCAGCTCTGATCAGTCTGGTATTTCAAGAAAAACAAGGTCCTGAACCCTAATCCTCAGACACATAACAAAGCGCACTTCACAGCTGTGATGCACAGCTACTATCAGCTCCGAGGCCTGAGTGGGTCCCAAGACAATGCCTCCTTTATCACCCAGAGGACAAATATCTAGACAGCAATATTTTCTGCTTGAATGCTTCAAGCATCTCTCGCAACTCCTGACTGAAAGAGAAAACTGAGCTGAGAGTGTTTGCTGAGTGATTATTTTAATTTACTACTTGATGTAAATCTAAATGAACTGACATCCAGCTTGAGATGGACAGAAAACAATCATTGTGAAAAAAGAAAGAAGGCTAATATTACAATATCATTTGAGTAGCACAGGTTTAGGCAACTTTAGCAGTGGCAATGTAATAGATAGTGAGGCAGGGTTTGCATTTCCTTTTCTTCACTCAATTACCATAATAAGTTCTGTAATTTTAGGGCTGTTTATTTATCAGGCGACGATAACAAAGACGCTCAGAACACGGTGTCTGAATGCAATAGTACAAAGCACCCCAGTGTCAGCCCTCGCATGCAGAGGGTTTGCTGACTCTCAC